TTGATCGTCAGTCTGGCTCGCAGCCGGATGATCAAGTATCTGCTTGCAGACTTGGCACGTGGAGGAGGAGGGAAGGTCCGAGCAGTCAACACGTAACAAGACATTCCCACAGTAAGCCTCGTTCTCCGTACGTTGGGTGTTTGTGGGGTCCTGGTCACCAAGCTCCAACCTACACACACCACAGGGTCAGGTGTCACTTGTGTTGAAATCCTGCTTTATTATCCACATGCTTGTTTCCATGTTACCACAAATTAAAGTTAATTAAAGTTAATTTGGTTAGAAGACAAAGCCTGGCTGGGAGGATGCAGTTGGGGCTGGTCCTGCTTTGCACCACATGGGCAGCTATGCCCATACATGGCGAAAGCCGTGTAATCAAGGCAGCCTTCACTGGCAGAGTCCTGACTCTCCACAAAACCTGAGGATGTCAACAGGGAACAAATGTAAGGTTGCAGACACCTCGAATTTAGCACACAGCACCCCAGGTACCAGAGAAAGTTTAGCACCTTCCCACAGCAGTGTACAGCTGGAAGTGGATGCACAAAGACCTCTGCTGTAAATTCAGACCGCTGCAGAAGGAATATCTGCAGTATGTTATAACAAAAGGCCACTGCCTCTTCTAGCTCAGTGTCCTCAGAGGAACGTGGAAGAAACCACTGAGAGACGAGATTCAGTAGATCCACAGACAGAAGGGATCATCTAGCTGGACGTCCTATGTAATCAGGCCATTCAGTTCCACCGAACTACGTCATACTAAGCCCAGAAACTTTATTTAAAATTGCATTTAAATCCTCAGGGGACTAAAGAGCTGAGATCCTTGCCAGGGTAACACAAGACCAGCATTCATTCCTGCCTGTGGCAGAGGGTCAAGCTAGATGATCTGTTCAGGTCCCTCCTGACCCTAGCTACTATGAAACTATGAAGACACCCAGTAGGCCACCAATGCACTGGCAGGAAGATGACTGAGACAAGCCCAGAAGACAAACCATGCCCCATGCTGCAGGGAGCAAATCCCCCCGCTACGGTCTGGGGAAAGCGTTCTTCCAGCCCCAGACCTGGTAATCAGTTTGAGGCAGAGCACATGAGCAAGACACACCAGCCAAATGTCTAGGAGAGGGGATCCCCTGTGCGCCCTCCAAGCACAGGGCTGCTCCCGTTTGTAACTGCGCTCAATCTCAGATGCTTCAAACATGGAAGGCAAAAACATGAGATTCCATCTGGGCAGTCATTTGAGCAGGGGAAAAAATCCTTCCTGACTGTAGCAGATGATCAGAGAGAGTCCTGAAGCATGAGATCTGATCTCCAGGCATCGTCTCAAATGGAAAGCTGCAAGTGCCACGTGCACGTTAACGGCAACAGATCGTTTTCTCCTGAAGCCCAGAAGGAAAAGGACAAATGGGAAAATTCAGATTCCAGGGCCAGAAAAAACCACCAAAACCCTCCAGCCCAAAGCAGGGGTCAAACAGGTCCTTTAGAAAGGTATCTAAGCACATCCCAAAGACAAATGGCAAACAGCCCGCTTTACCAGTGAGCTGCTTTGGAGTTTGATTTCCTTCGCTGGTTGTTAAATCACAGTCCATTTCAATGCTGAATGGTTTCATTTCTATATCCAGCCCCTGGATCCTGTTGCACTGTTCTCAGTTCGATGGAGAAGCCCATCTTAGCAATTATTTTGCCCATGCAAAAGTACCTGTCCACTATGGTCGTGTGCATGGGATAATGTACCCCCACCCCCTCAAACTACCAGCTGTTTTGTTCCGAAGCACATTCAAAATGAGCTGTGTATCCCCCCTAACGCGGATCACAGATATTCCCAGGATCTATATATTGCATGGCTGTTCTTGAAGCTCAGGCAGTGTTTCTGGTCAGACTGTCCAAGGTGCCCAGGTGGTTACTATAATACCAGCATGGGCAGGCATCTGCCTGGCTTCCTGTGAGCACAGAGAGAACTCACTGCACTTGCACACAGCGCTGTGTGCCCATTTTGGTCCTATGTGCATCACTGGAGATCCTGGACAGAGTTCAGTATACATAAAGCTTGTCTGCACAGAGCTTCTCACCAGGAAGGCTAATGCAGACAACCAGAGGAGTGCGGCTGCCTTCTCCGTAACATAAGGGTTAACTCTTGAAGGACACAGAAATGTCCCATAATGGAGCAGGGATGGCCCCCAGTGCAACAAAGCAAACATTCAAGGCCTGTAACAGAGTCCAAACCTCCCTCGCACCCAGCACAACCCTCCACGGCTAGGGGAATCAGGTGCCTGATCCCAATCAGCATGGAGGAAACTGCTTCTGATCGTGCCTTGTTCCCTCTGCTTTTTCCACCCAACTTACCCCTTGGGCAAAGCCCTTGCATACAGACTTCTCCAAGGCCCCAAGCTGGCCCCGACAGAGCCGTAACACCCAGGTTACACAAAAGCAGACTTCACTGCTGGCAATACCGTCACTGCTTTCTCTCTTGCCACATTTGATCTGAAACGTGTTGGCTAAAACTCTGACCCTGCTGCCAGGCCACATACAAGTCCTGTAAGACTGCAGATGGAGCTTCTGCTAAACTCTGGACAGGCAACAGGTATCAACGGAGAGAGATCAATGGAGTATTGTGCACCCCCACCCTGCTCCATACCACCACACACACACACACACCAGTGCAGCGAGTTTGTATCGACAGTCTGCAGAGTCTCCAGCCAAAGCACTCACCAGTTTGCTGGCCTTGGCAGCTTCCAGTGAATCTGGAAATAAAGCAGAGAAACAGAAGAACCATAAGCCATGTGCCACACATACTGCATGGGACTCTTCATAACATGGCCAGAAAGACCACTGTAATTCCAGTGCAGGCTCTGGGATACTTAGCTTCACCTGGATAATCAAACAATGTCTAGATCTAGTTAAAAGATGCCCCCATGTCTCTGGAGGAGTAGGAATAAGATGCGACGGGGAAGGCAAGTTCTGTTCCACCTTAACTAAGTGGTCACCTGCACTCACCACCAGTAGCTGTCAATCCCTCCAGGAAACACCCTGTCCTTGGTTTGCATGTGCATTAGAGTTCATGACCAAATACCTCTGTGCACATTGACTATTTTAACCATGAAAAAGTAGGCCAAGCAGGGCGGGAGAGGTTAATGCCCCTAGGACAGATCTGCCTGGGGTCAGGCCAGCTCAATGCCTACAGTAGCCCAGTACACCACAGGAAGCTGCCATCCCACCCAGATCACCAGATTTGCAGGGTGTTGCTAGCTACAAGAGGCTGCAACTCTCTTATAAAGGAGCCGCAGAAGAGCAGCTCACGGAGTTGGCATTCAAGTGTAGGTGGGAAGTGCCAGGGCCATTCGCTTCTACCTAAAGGACCTGTGCAGTTGCCCTTGGACTGGAGCTTTCCACACTTTTCCTGAGCTCTGGGTTGTGTTACTGTGCACCACTGAACAGCTGCTCCACATCCCCAGAAAGGTAATGGCAGTTCGAGGCTGAGACACGTAGCTCGTGGTTGCAGGAAGGTAATATCAAAATGCAGAGCCACAATTCAAGTGGGATGCACGCCTCAAACCCAGGGGATGATCTGTTTGGCTAAATTCCACCCTCCGTGCTGCTCCTGGGCATCTAATGGGGACGACACTATGGCTTGCAGCCTATTGTGATGAGCCTGCTATTTGGGTTTTGTCATTTGAATCGCGGCATCAGCTGCCCAGATAAAGGATGCTCTGGAGACAGCTCATAAATCAAAGCTCCAAGCTGCCTCCCTGGTGAACTGTACACCTGGATTCATTTTGGTGGGGGGAGGTGGGGGGAAGGGGGAACATACTCAACTGCTAGAGACCAAAATCTCTGCAGCACGTACTACAGAGTCAAAGACTGCAGCAGGCACTGAGGTTTCTATAGCAACTCACTGGCACCAAGCCATGCTTCCTGCATCCGTATTTCATTACTCCAAAGAGCATGGCACGGGTTCAGTGTTTCCCTGACCCTTCCCACCTTTCTTCCCTCGCTCAGGACACACACTCTTGAACTCATACCCCTGTTCTTTCCCTCTGACCCTGGCAGGAATAACACCCCGCCCCCTCCATGCTATGTTTTCCTTGCTGCATCAGTATCTGTAGCTCATTTTACCCTCTTGCAGCATGGGAGGTTGGCCAAACACACCCTCTGAGCTCCTCCTGTAGTCAAGGAGAACCAGTTTCTCTCAGCAGAACTCAAATGGGCTCTCTCTCAACTAGGCAATGGGGCAGCAAGCAGCAGAGGAAACTCAAGCCAACCAGCACCAGCTAATTTAGGTTGGAAGGAGCCTCCTGAACTGCTGCTATATTTTGTTGGCACTGGACTGAGAACCCAGCAGCACCAGGCAGCGCTACAGGAAGTCCAGCGAATGCCTCTATACAGCAGCAAATCCTGACAGCACTGCAGCGCTGGCAGGGCAAAGCAGCTGGATGCTCTCTTCCAGACGCTCCATTCTTCGGGTCTGGTCAACTTGCCTCAAAAGAGAGCGTCAGGAACAGAGGAGGCTCCAGGGGCCTGCACTAAGCTGGGAAAACATGAGACTAAAACCTTGTAGATGCTTAAGAACATTTGCATCAGAACCACAGCAGGAAAGGGAGAAGCTCTGTGCATGGATAGCTGGGCCTCAGCAGGGAGAGAAGCCTGGAAAAATTCAAGTTATATGGACTAAGCAAAAAAAAGGTTTTTATTAGTTTGTAGAAGAGATTAAGTGACAAAGGGACTGCTTTAAAAAGGGACAGCTGCTAGACAGGCAGCTGGGAATAGGAGATGTGTTGGGGTTACGCCAGACCAAAGCCTTTTGCAGTGACAGCAAGTTCTCGGAGCTGGGAACAGTCTGAGTGACAAGGGTAGGGCAGAGCACCATGTGACACGAATACCAAGTTGAAGCTCCCCTCCACTGACAGGGTAGACAAAAGGAAACAGCCCACTGCAGCCCAGGCCCTCCAGGCATGCTGCCTCTGTAGCACTACTTGCAGCATCTGGAGTTGGGGTTTAACTCCTCCAAGGTGCTACTGGTCACAAGCAAGCATGATTCTGGGTCAGTTC